ACCAGGGAGCCCTCCCAGGTGCTCGAAGAAATGCACCAGAAATTATCTGCCCGGGATTTGCAATTTGTTTTGGTGTATTTTTCTCAGGAGGGGAGGGATTCATGGTGTGCACTGGAGGTGTTTGATTGGCTTAGGAAGGAGAACAGAGTGGACAAGGAAACGATGAAGCTCATGGTTTCAATAATGTATGGATGGGTTAAGAAGTTGATTGATTCGAAGAGTGAGGTTAGCGATGTGGTTGATCTTCTGGTGGACATGGACTGTGTGGGGTTGAAGCCGGGTTTTAGTATGATGAAGATGGTGGTTTCTTTGTATTGGGAGGCGGGTGAGAAGGAGAGGGCAATTGGTTTTGTGAAGGAGGTGCTCAGGAGGCAAATATCTTACTCCGTTGGTGATACTGAAGGGCACAAGGGTTGCCCAGTCGGTTTTCTTGCTTACAAAATGATGGTAAGAAACGATGCCTTCTCTTAGCACTCTTGTATTTTTTTATGCTTGCTTGTATGCTATAGTGGTGCAAATGATCTTTCAGTGTATCTTCTCCACGTATTTGAATTGTATTGAACTGTGCTAGCTGTATTTATTTAATGTCAAATGTGGAACACCATTCTGATTATTTCTGACAATACATTAAGTTGCTGTGTGGAAACACAGAAAATGATTGGAAAACAAGTGGTACTTTTTTGTGAGTTTTCTCTCTTCAAGTTGCAGAGAAAATAGTACTGTATGAAGATATAGTTCTATACATTTCAAATTTACTATTTTAACCTTATGATAAAAAATTTGTTAATTTATACTCCCTCGGCCCCGTAAAGAACTTCACACTTTACTTATTTATTTCGTTATCCTAAAATAAAACTTTACACTTCTCCCATTTCCTCTCAAGGAAAGGAATATGTATCTCACAACATTTCTCTTTCTTCTAAACAGATTATAATTACACACTTTAGTTTGTAACACTTTTCTTAAATGCTAAAAAGCCAAATTTTTTTGGGACATGAGTATAAGGGTAAAATAGTAATTTGTGATCTCTTTCTTTCTTCCCCTTCCTTATTTTTCTTTCTTCCATCCCAATTTTATGAGAGGAAATTAGGAAGATCAATTTATTATCTCTTCCTTATTTGTTTTCTCAAGAGAGTAAAAATAATATTATTGCATATGTGGTGGGGCGAATGCTTTCTTAGTGTATCTTGTTTGTGTTTTTTGAATTACTTTGACCTCTGCAGCTCTGCTAAAAGCACTACTTTAAGTTCGGAATGCCCAAGAATGTTCTTACAATACATTTTGGTCTTGTCTTGGATTGTTTTGGTAATTGGAATATGTTACTAGGAATGGGAAATGAGAATTGAATTGATGGGGATTAGATAAAATGTTCGGATTTGCTGGAGTTCACACTAGCATGGCTTCTACATCTAGGAATTCAAGGTTCATGTGAATTTGTCAGTTGCTTTTGCTTGTTGTGACATTCTTTGGGTGAACTTGGCGAGTGATGCCATGTTTCTACATACAACGTTATGAACTTCATGCTAGTTAATATTCAGTTATTTTGTTGCTTAGGGCCCTTTTGGCAGCGTTACTTAGCTTAAATGGCCAAACGTTTTTTGTTAAAAGAAAATTGTTTAGTACTCCATATGTCTCAAAAGGCACTTCCCTGTGTAAATAATGGGGTAGAATTTGTGGTTAGTTGAGGGGGTGAAAGTGTCTTTTCACTAGTTTAATTGATTGTACTCCACATTAGCACATTGAGTTTCTAAGTGTTCAAATTGCAACCATTTTGTTTTATTTGTTGCCATTTCTGACAGAAATTTGTTGTCATTTCAGAGAGTAAGATTCCTTACTTTTTTGTGTGTGGGATTTTACTAGGTTTATTGTTGTCATTTCTGACAGTAATTGGTGTATATCTTACCAGGAGGAAGGAAATTACAGAGATGCAGTGAAATTAGTGATTAACATCAGAGGTTGCGGATTGAAGCCTGATGCATACAGCTATCTAATTGCTATGTCAGCCGTGCTAAAAGAATTAAAGGAATTTGGCAAAGCGTTACAGAAGTTAAAAAGTTTCACCAGATCTGGTCTGGTTGTTGAGATTGAAAACTTCACTTCGACCCTGAAATACCAAACTGATCTTCTAGCTGATGGCGTGCGTCTCTCTGATTGGGCCTTTCAAGAAGGGGACCCATCCCTCTATGGGACCATCCACGAAAGGCTTCTCACAATGTATATATGCTCTAGGCAGGGAGTTGAAGCTGAGAAACATATCTGGCAAATAAAACTCGAAGGTAAAGAAGTGAACAGAGATCTTTATGATATTGTATTAGCCATATGTGCTTCCCAAAACGAATCCGGGCCCATTGGAAGGCTACTCACCATAATGGACACCTCAACTTCTTTGCAGAAAAAGAAGAGTCTTTCGTGGTTGATAAGAGGTTACATTAAAGGAGGGAATTCTGAGAAGGCAGCTGAAACAGTAATGAAAATGCTTGACTTGGGCCTAACTCCTGCGTTTTTGGACAGAGTGGTCGTGCTTCAAGGACTACAGAGACGGATTCGCCAGCCGGGAGGTATGCATACCTATCTTAAACTGTGCAAACGACTCTCCGATGCAGAGCTAGTGGACCCATGTATTGTGTATCTGTATATAAAGAAACACAAGCTTTGGATCATGACAGTGATCTAAAGCAACACGGAGAAGAAGAATCCGTGGGCTTTGCACATATTACCACAAGAACCCGCATTTCTTACTCATCTCACTCGCTGGATGACATCCTTGACAATCATCATGTGTATATTGTGTATAGTAGCCGGGAGTCTCTTAGAAACGGCTTCTCTACTCCAAAAATAGTCCTAAATAGGGGTAAGTTTTGCGTACACTCGCCCTCCGAGCCCCGCCTTTTGTGGGTTCTACTAGGTTTCTTCTTGTTGTTGTTGTTGTAGTTTCAGATGGATTCAAAACAGTGCAAGCTTCTCATGTAATTCCCATGTCTATAGTATGTACTAAAAATGATCAATAAATCTCAATGTAGCAGAAGAGCTATGTGCAGGATGTTTGGGATTGTTTCATGAATATTGTTGGATTAGATCTTTGGGTTGGAATTTATTAGTTCAACACTACTTGTAATTTATACTCCTTATCTGATTTAATACTCCATATCTTTTGACGAAATTTATGGAATATATTAATTCAACTTTTTATTTAAATTTTAACCAATATATTTAAATAAATAGAATTAAAAATAAACCAGTCACATTTTCTTAACCGCTACACTGAATTTTTTTAATAGTATTGACTCCATTAATTACAAGGAGTATTTGTTCATACTATTCTCAATCTAATGACGTACAAAGAGCTAATACTTCCGTTGGGGCTCGAACCTGGGTGAACTTACTCATGAATCATGAACTTACTACAACTCAAGCCTGAAGAAAAGTTTGTTACACTGTTTTTTTGT